AGAGAGAGAGAGAGAGAGAGAGAGAGAGAGAGAAAGAGAGAGCAAGAGAGAGAGACGAGCGGGTATAGAACAGGGGAAAGTGTTAGCAAGGGGCCCCTGAAACTAAGCACCCGGTTACCGTGTACGTAGATACTGAGACTAGAATCTACCGTGTACGTAGATACTCCGTAAATTATAAAGTAAAAAAAGATCACAAAACAATGATTATTCTCAATTGTGGTGTTGAATCGTATCCGAATATTCTCCAAATTTGTACAAAGTATTGGAAAATGGAAATATTATGCTGATTAAACCACAAAATTAAATGCTTCCATTTCTATAAATATTTCGCTTTGTATCTGGAAAGCGTGCACACTGAATTGGTGTGGGTTTGCTCTTTCCTTCTTCAGCCTTCAGCATACAAAATCTGTTTGCACACAGAGGACGCATAAAAGCGTGCGATCATGCAAAATTTATTCTGATAACTGAACCCAAACCAATACTTACTGATTAAAGGGGTGTGTAACACTGTATTTTTAGTAAGAGTGCTATTTCTTTGAACCTTCCTCAATTATCACAATAGCAGCAGTTGCTGAAAGTAGTGAAAGAGTGAGTAGTAAGTGGCTAAGTAGCCTGCAGGTTGTGCGCAGACCAAGGCAACAGGTCAACGCCCAGATTTTTGTGCACGATATAAATTAACCGCTAAACAGGAGTTATTAGATTTTTTTGTGGTTGAATGGGTGGTTTATTTGCCTTGGTCGTATACCGTGGCATTATACAGTCAAACCTGCCCTGACGGCCACCTCTATAAGACGGTCACCTGTACAAACGGCCACTTTCCATTTCCTCCCTTGCGTTTTTTCTATATAACTTAAGTGTGTAAAACGGGCACCTGTCTGACGCGGCCGCGGCCACCTTATTTGAACACACAACCCCTACCAAACAAAAACACCTGTCTTAGACGGCAACCTTAGTGACTCCATTACGTTTTGTTATAAATTGTGCTTTGGCCCCTGGCGTTATGCGCGAGCCGTCATAATTCAATCACCTGTCGTTGTTGTTAAGTAGTCCCTCCAACAGATCATGTTGAGTAGGCCCCTCCCACTGTTGACCAAAAGCTTTTTC